CCGCCGAAGCAAATGTTTAGCATTTTGCATTGTGTATCGTATACATAGTATAGGTATGTAATACATGCTTCTTAAATGTGTAAATGAAATCTGATGACTGCATATGTCTAGAGATCTGATTGGTATAAGCCAGTTTATTTTATGGCTGCTGCTGAAACCTAATTTAGTCTAAGCTGCCTTAAAAATGTGCTGAACAGAAGACAGTTCAGATTGAATGAACAGAAGAGTTAGATTGTTAATCTTTTTACACATTGCTCAAATCGCCTTTTGTGTGTTTTGGAGTACCATGATTTTCATTTTTTGAATCCTCACTTGAGGATGTTTTTATTTAATTGATTTTAGAGAGACATCAGTTGATGTGAGAGAGAGACGTTGATTGGTTGCCTCCCATACAGTGCCTGCCGGGATTGAACCAGCAACCTGGGTATGTTTCCTGACGGGGAATTGAACCTGTGACCCTTCAGTGTATGGGATGACACTCCAACTGAGCTTCACTGGCCAGGGCTGGAGTACAATGTTTTTAAGATAAAATAAATAATAAAGGTAAGGGAACCAGGAGCTGGAGGGTTGAAATAGTGTTATGTGAATAAGGTATGTTTCCTGTAGAAAATGATGACTAAGATGGGTCCTTGATAGTAGTTTTCAAGTAAAGGGCTTTTTCAAATAGGAGATAGAGACAAATTCAAATCATAGGATTAAGGAAGAGCATTTGATAGCACTTTGTCTAACCTCATCATTTTAACATGTTCCTATTTAGAGGATAAAACCAGAACCATTAGATAGAAATCATAGGTACATAGACTTTTATAACTCATTTATTTAATATTTGACTACTAGGTATTTAAAAAGTAGAGTAGATAGCTTGTGAATAGCAAATTTTCTGCTTATAGAAGTATGGAGAATCTGGATATCTCCCTGTCTGGAATGCTGTACTGCCTGAAGCTTAACATTCTGCTAGTTCTCTGCATTACATATTATGCAAGATTAAGAGCTACAGTTTAAGGTGCTTGCTTTTTTAAATTGGAATTTACCAACTGAGAGTACCAGTGATAATTAAAAAAAACATTGAATTTCATATCAGAACGTTGGAAAAATGTAGCATTTTTTGTGTTATGCCATATCCCTTATATGCCAATTCTTTGGATGACAAGTAATTTGCTGTTAGTTGTAAGTCAAAGTAAGTTATTTGGCATTTTTATGAAGTAGAATTTTTAAAAATATATGTATTTTTAATTGATTTCAGAGAGAGGAAGGGAGAGGGAGAGAGAAACATTGATGATGAGAGTCATTGATCGGCTGCCTCCTGCATGCCCCCTACTGGGGATCAAGCCCACAACCCGGGCAAGTGCCCTGACCAGGAATCAAATGGTGACCTTCTGGTTAATGGTCAACTCTCAACCATGCTCAACCACTGAGCAACACTGGCCAGGCTGAAGTAGAATTTTTTTTATTCCTGTTAAGAAAAGCATGAATTATTGCTAAAAATGAAAAGGATTAAATGGAAACATTAGGATGTACTCTTTGGATGATCCAGAAGACTGGCAGGACATATTTTGACTATTTTTGCTGTGTTCTAGGCGTGTCGTTTTGTTTTTAATTTCAGAGAGAGGAAGGGAGAGGGGAAGAGAGAAACATCAATGATGAGAGTGTCATTGATCGGCTGCCTCCTGCAACACTCCCCACTTGGGATGGAGCCCGCAACCCAGGCATGTGCCCTGACCGGGAATCGAACCTTGACCTCTTGGATCATAGGTCGATGCTCAACCACTGAGTGACGACGGTTGGGCTTGTGTTATAGTGATTTACAGGAGTCAAGGCATTCCTACTTGTGAGCATATGATTGTATCAGAAAACATGACAGTCTATCAAGTCAATTCTAAAAGTAATGGGACCAGATAAATGAAGCAACAGTTAACCTTTCTGCTTTTGAGAGGTCTAGCTATAGTATAATTTTTTTGTTTAAAAATTGCAAGTAGTTATAAACATTTAAGAACTTTGGATTCAAACACTAAGGCTTTCTTTTATATAAATTATTTAAAGTTTCAAATAAAGAATTCGGCCTTTAGACTAAACATTTAACTTAGTTTTGTAATTTTCATATTACATCAACAAGTAAATAGCAATTTAGCTCTGTTTTTCATTACTTAATCATTTTTATTGTCAATAGAAAAAAGCAGAGGAAATTTTCAGGAGAATTTAACTTGAAACATGGTTTTAATGTCAAGGAAAATCTTGGTCTTAATTAGTCTTTTAAATTTTTGAATAAATGTTACGTTTTAATGACCCTTTAAGAGGTGTGCAATCTTAAATAGCACTGGTCTGCTTAAGTTTACTGTTACTACTCTGAGAGGCTTCAAGCATAGGCAGGACAAGGAAAAATCCTAAGTATTTTTCTGTTTGAAATATAAAACTTAAATGAACTTCATGGGCATGTACATCCCAGCCTGGAGGTCACATTTTCATGAGTTCCCCCGTTAAGGTTGGGGAGGCTATTGCATACTTTGAGAGTATGTTGTATTCTGCCCTATTATTTAAGATGATTGCAGTAATTTGAGTTTATCTAAAATTTAGGCTTACATCACAAGGCTAATGGAGTTCTAGGCGGTTTGCAAGACTGAATACACATCTTCCTAGTCTTTGTCCAAGCCAGCCCTGTGTCTCCATTAATTCACTGAAAAAGTATACCTGGCAATGGGTATGTATAGGCGAATTAAAAATTCTTGGTTTTGGGGATCCATAACATAGTATGATTATAATACTATGATTAATGATTATAATAATGATTCTGCATTAATGATTCTGGAAAAAATACACCTACATACCAAAACCGAATACAGATGGCATTTGCAGTTAAGCTAGGTGAAGCTTTTCTTAACCCCCAAATATCAGCGGATGGGGCCAAACCACCAAGAATCCCACATCAGCCAGCTGGAAACGGGATTTTTTTCCTCACCAATAATGAGTGCAAGGTAAGCTCAATAAGGGATGGATAGACGAGCAGTTTACCCCAGTGAAAGCTCAAAACAAATCTTCCAAGACAAGACTGGCTTTTAGGGACCAGACTGCACAGAGGAGAAAATGTGGAATAAAATAAAGCAGGAGAGAGGACAGGAGGGGGCCTAGATCAAACTGGTGTAGAGAATATAGCCAGGAAAATCTTAGAAAGCAAGCCACGATATTTCTGAACACTACTCAAAAACGGGAAAAGGCGGCTATGTAAATAAAGTCTGAAGCTTTTCTGAATCCTGCATCCTCAAAGTTCAGAAAAAAAATTCCATGTAAAAATGAGCAATAGAAAAATGTCAAATCTCAAAATATTATCAAGGTGTAGTATGTATGAATGCTTTAGTAAACAATGGAGAAAGGATCTCTGAAAAATTAATTTTAGGGGAAAGTTGTCAGCCAAGCATTCATGAGGGGCTGTGGCATTGGACTTGGGCCCACCTTGCTATCTCAGCTGAATGTCCAGTTCTGTTAGTGCAGCCTGAAGGAGGCTTTAGTACTGGTTCCCAAGGGATGCTTTTGTTCTGGCCACTATTATGTGCTGTTTGATATCACACTGGAATGGGAGAAGGTTTTAAGATCGTTACTTATGACGGCAAAAGAGAAGGACAAGGAATATTGAGAATGTTGTGGTTTACTAATTTCATGCAGGACTGCTGATCTATTTGCCTTATATTTATTTGTATATTGTCCGACACTCTTCTACTTTTATCCTAATCTAGTTTAGACTACTGGGCCTGTCAACTACGGTCACTCGTGTTCTGCCGGTTGCTTAGTCCGAATCATTCTTGGTGTTTGTTTTCTCTCCATATCTAATTATTTTACTCAACAAATTGGTTAAATACCTATTACATACACCAGGCACTCTTCTAAAGCACTGGAGATACAGCATGGGTCAAAACAAAGTTCTTTTTCTGGAGTTCACAGTTTAGTTTGGCTGCATGGGGAGCAGAAATACAAGATCTGGCAACAGTAGGGTTACAGTTCGAATGGAAAATAATACAATAATAAATAATACAAGGATAAACTTTCTCGTACAACTGTAAATCTACTTTTGCCTCACTATGTGGTGACAAGTGCTATAAAGAAAAATAGGACAGTGGAGAGCTGCTATTTACAAACGGTGCTGAGAAAGCCTCTTGCAGGTCTTCACTGGAAGGTAGGTCCAGGACGGCGAGGACCTTACCGTTCTTGCCCATTATTGCATTTCCCCGCGCACAATTGATCTTAAATTGTCATATAACTCGAACGCATCCCTCCCTCGCTAAAATATGAAAGAGAAAGCTGTTGTCTCTTACGAAGCCAGTAACCTCACATCAAAATCGCAAATTGGAGTATCACCTGTCATGATTTAGTGGTCACTTTGCCGTCCGCGGCTAGACCAGGTCAGTGTCCGGCCCATAATTGGTAGCCTGGTAACCAGGAGCGTTTCGTGAACGAACACTGTAAGTACTGTAAAGCTGCAGATTTCCTCGAGGACAGTGCTCGGCTTCTGCTAGTCCCATAAGCATGTTTACTCATTGAACGAATAAGTGATCAAACAAAAAAAGGCGACTTCCCCCGGCAAGCGGTCACGGGAGAGTGGCCCTGCTTCCGGTCTGAGGGTAGGGGCGACAGATTTTTTTCTGAGAAGATCTGTGTGGGGCAGGAACTCCGGACCGCGGGCCTGGCTCAAGGCGCCCGCACGGCCCCGCACGGCCCCGCATCGCCCAGCTTCAGACGCCCTTGCACGAGAGCACCCGGAAACTAAAAATCGCGTCACGCCAGTGCGTCTCCGTCCCGAACGGCCCGCCCCGCCCCGCCCGCCAGCTGCCTATTGGTTTCTATTGGCTGCCTCGCGGAAAGCCCGCCCTCTTAAAGGAGAAGGAGAACCCCAGTAGTCCGTCCAAATAACAGTAACTAACCTGACGTTACCGCACAGCCAATCACAAGCAGCGATCTTCAGCCCTGTCCAATGAGATCGGGCACAGGCCGCGGCCCGCGGAGTTTGATTTTCGTCCAGGAACGCGGAAGTAGTGAACCTGTCCAGGAAAAGCGCGGCAGGTGGGACTGGACGCAGGAGGAGGCGGCCGCGCCTTCGGTGAAGCGACCCTGGCTGAGCGAGGGCTGCAGGGCCCAGGCCCGAGTCGGTGGGGGCGTCGTGGCCGCATGTGGCCTGCAGGCCGAGGCCGGCGGACGGACACGGGCCTGGGCGTTCCTGAACCGGGACGAGCGCCGGCCGTGCTTCTAGACTGAGGGTTCCGAGGCGGCGCTCCGTAACCCCCGCCTCTCCAGGTCCCGGGTTTACCTGGAGGCTCGGCTTCGGGGGAAGGTGAGCCCCCAAGGAATCGTGCGCTAAGGCCAGGGACACCGGTTACATGCTAGTTGGGTGACTAAGTTAAGTCAACCGATCTGGGGTTCACGTTCCTTATCTTTAAAAAGAGCGAGGAGGGGCTAAGCCTTGAGTCTGCCCCCCGCCTGCTTTGAAGGGTGGGCTGGACTCTTCCCTCTCCCGAGTCCTTCCAAAGCATTCAGGGCAGAGGGAGCTCCTCTGTCCAGCTACCTCGAAGGCTTCTCAGCTAAGTGTCGAACTTTTAATGCAATTTAACTGATACATTGAAGTTTTCCTTTGCCAGGCCGCCCTTCCCCGCGCTTCTCTTTCTCTTTGACCACCTTCAAAATAATGCTGCCCAGAAGACAGTAGCTGATGGTGTAATGTGTAAGGAGAGGACTTCCAGTTTATTTAATAGAATTTATGCCGCAACTGTTTGTCACGGGTAACATTCTCTAAATTTTTTTTCCTGAAGGTATCAAGAAACTGATAATGTTTCCTTGAATTTGCTTCCCTGTTCGCTTCATCAATGTCTCTCCTATTGAATATCTTAAGAGAGATACTGGAATATTTCGGCGTTCCCATGGACCAGGTAAACGTTTTTTTAATGGATTTGAGTGAACCTGTTGTATTTCTTCTTGGGCCTCATTTTGAAAATGACTTATATGTAAACATTTAAGGTGAAATTGTTTTTTCTCTTTAGGTGAGGTAAGGTGAGCTTGCAATAGTTTGGCTATGATAGTTTTATTTTTTTTAATCCTCACCCGAGGATATTTTTTCCATTTCTTTTTAGAGAGTGGAAGGGGGAAGAAGAGGGAGAGGGAGAGAAAACAAAAATCGAGGTGAGAGAGACACATCGATTGGTAGCCTCCTGCACTCACCCCCGACTGCGACCCGGGATTGAGCTGCAACCGAGGTACATGCCCTTGGCTGCAATCAAACCTGGGACCCCTCAATCAGTCCACAGGCTGACAGTCTAGTCACTGAGCCAAACCGGCTGGTAGTTTGATTTTAAAAAGGAATAAGATTTTTAGAAAGCTATTTACCTGATGGGTCAAATGCCAGCAAAGGGTGCAAACAAACAAAATGTATGCATGGCCTTCATAAAATCCAGTTTATTGCATAGGTAAGTTAAATTGTATTTTTAATTCTCTAATGGTTTTATTAAGGTATCTGCGGTTTAATATTTGGGTATAGAATGGCAAGTTACAGCTCAAAATATTCAGAATAAGTCTTTTTTAAAAAAAATATAGCTTTATTGATTTCCAAAAGAGGAAAGGAGAGGGAGAGAGAGAGATAGAAACATCAATGATGAGAGAGTCATGGATCGGCTGCCTCCTGCATGCCCCCGACTGGGGATCGAGCCCGCAACCCCCGGCATGTGCCCTAACCAGAATCGAACCCTGATCACCTGGATCCTAGGTCAACACTCAACCACTGAGTCACGCCCAACCGGGCCAGAATAAGTCTTAAGGAGAGAGGATTACTTAAGTCTGAGAATTAAAAGCAAATCCAATTTTATCTACTTACTTAGCATCTACTACGTTGATCTAAGACAATATGCATGGTTCTTGTATTTATGGTGCTAGAAATATGAAGACTAGCCAACATATACAGATAACTATAATACAAGAGTGAATGTAAGACACAAAATAGTAGCGTTACCAGCCATATGAGAAGACCTCAGTTCTTGTCTTCTTGAAGGAAAGTTTCAATCAAAAGACAGAGTGTAGAAAAGCAAGCAAGAATTTATTGACCGCAGCAAAAACATACTTAGGACAGTGAAACAAGGAAGGGCATAGAAGAAGCAACAGAAGAGCCTCGGCTGGGCTTCTTTGTCTCACTGGGAAGTCAGAGAAAAGGGGAGCCTTGTAGACAGGTTCGGGGGTAAGCCTGGGACCAGCTGCTGCTGCCCATTGCTCCTTTGGTTGCAAGTCTCATGGGGTCCCTTAGAGGTTAGGGAATACGTGCCTGTGGGGGAAGGAGAGAGGGAAGGGAATGGCAGGGGTGTCAGCACACTGGGACCTTTGTTTTCAGGGGTTTTAAAATCTGGGTGTTTAGGGGCAGTCTTGGGGGGAAATCACTAGAATATTCATCAGCTTTATGCTGATTTACCAAAATAAGATTTTCTTAATTTGTCCTTGAGTGTAGTTGGCAAATGGCACTAATTGGATTTCTGTTATCTGTCTTGAGTAGGGTGATTTAAGCTATATACCCCCTGATTGGGGGGGTAGAAGTGCGATCCATCTACTCTTAAGTGTCCTTGTGTCCTTTGTTTAGGAAAGATGGGATTTACTAGGTGGCTGCAAACTGCCGTCTAACTGTCTTAGTTTCCCTATTCCGCTTGTCCTAGAATTTCCCTAGCTTCTTACTATTCTGTAACAGTGGGGTAGGGGGAGGGTTATAGAATAGACATGTCATCACTATTTGGTGAAGTGAATTAGAAGAATAGTCAAGGATAATTCCAAGATTTTAAACAAAAGTAAGCCGAAGAATGATACCGTTGTTTTAAATAGGCAACTCAGTGTGAGGAACTAGTTTGAGTAGGTGAGCCAGGTGTGCTGTTAGAATATACAAGTACAGATATCCTGGGATAAAAGGTTCTAGAATGTAGGAAAGACTTGGTTCAGATTTGGAGTTATCTGTGTTGTTTTGAGGTTTGAACTGATGGACTTGATAACAGAATGGAAGATGTCATTGAAGCAATTTGAGTTTCCGAAATAGTGAGGTTGAAGATAACGAGGACTGAGTAATAGTTGAAGATTTGCTTATCATATTGTTGGTGCCTTTAGAGATTTCTGTAGGTGGAGAGTGGCATCCATTTCATAGTAGTTTGATGTTTGACTGAGAAAGGGAGGTAGCATCAACAATCTTCTTTGGAAAAGTTGTGAAAAGAAATTGAAAGAGGTCATCAACTTGAAGGGGCAGCAGGAATAAATTTTTTTCCTTTCAGTTTTAGAAGTAACTTCATCAGGTTTGCAAGCACTGGGGAGGACTCTTATAGACAGGAATATATTTAAGGTACAAATGAGAGTGACTGTACAATGCCCTAAAGAAGGTAGCTGGGCAGGGGATATAAATAAACAAGCCTTTGTAAATTTTGAAAGACAAGTACCACATGATCTCACTCATGTGGAGTATAATAAACGAAATAAACTGATGAACAAAATAGATCCAGAGACATAGAAGCATGTAACAGACTGAGGGAAGCATGGAAC